CTGTTTTATTCATTTATGTATTATTTTGAGAAAGGGTCTCACTAAATTGTTTTAGGTCCTTGTTATGTTGCTGAGGCTAGCTTTGAACTCGTGATCCTCCTGCCTCAGCCTCCTGAGCCCTTGGGATTATAGGCATGGATTATTATACCCAGCCTTAAATCCCATCTATTTAAATGTTAGCTTGTAATCTTCCTAACAGCCAGTGAAGAGACAATTTTGTTTTTATGCATTTCTTACAAAATAGGTGATAGAGACACAGATAGTTGTAATTTAACCAAAGCAAAGAGAAGTGCTGGTTTTTCCCAACTACATGATTTTACAGAGAAAAAAATGAGAGTCAGAGCCAGTGTTAGAACCTTCCTTATTTCAATATGTGAAACTGAGACCAAAAATAAGAAAATTAAGACAGAAAAGAAAAATGGGAGCCAGGGGGAACCATCTATAACATGTTCTGTTTCCTCCAGACTGCATTCATTATTCTCTAGTAGTTACAATTTCTGTGAATTTGCCCTTATTTAACCATTACTCAAACCTTGGTGTGATACAATTATGCAGATACATTGACATGGTTTTATCTCCCATCAAAATGTGAATTTCTTGTGATCAGAGAGGGTTACCCCTGATCTGTTGCCCCCCTCACATATCCCCATGCCCTCTCAAGAATGAACGCTTACATAGAAAAGCATTCAGCAGAACACTTCTCTTTACTCCCTTAAGCTGGAATGTTTGATCTCACTCTGATATTTGCCTTGTTAGGAGTAAGAATGTGCCCAGAATTACAGATCATCCATTAATTGCCAAAACCACTCTGGATCCCAAATCTTAGTTTCTACTCTTTTTGGTTTTGCTTACCCTATACTGGCATTAGGTTTTTAGTGCAAGGATCTAATAGTCATGAAATGGAAAGTCTTGGGTGAAAATGTGAAAATTCAGTATAAAATGGGTGATAAGCTGAATTCAAGTGCCTGTCTTTCTCCTGACATAATTCTGTAGAAGATCATTGACATTTGAATCCCTTTCATATTTAATCTATTTTCAAACAGTTTCATCTGTTATAAAATATCTGTGGTAGACTGTATCTTACAATTAATAGTAAAGACACTATTTGGTTTCAAATTATTAATTAGCAAGGTTTATTTCCTGTGAGAATGTAATCACCACTGAATATATAGTGTCAAAATTTAATCTCAAAAAATGCTGTGAGGTTAGTAGAATTAGGCAGTGTGAAAATGCAAAAAATATAAGGATTGCAGAAATTAAATTACTTTCCAAATTAAATAATCAAGATTGAAACCAATCCTAGTTTTTAAAAATATCTTTATTTATTTTTATGTGGAGCTGAGGATTGAACCCAGTGCCTCACATGTGCAAGGCGGGTGCTCTACCATTGAGCCACAGTTCCAGCCCCCAATCTTACCTTTTATTAACTGGATCTTGTGATTTTCTAATGTTTTACAGCTAGAAGAAGCTTCATTTAAACAAGCAAGTACAAAGTAAAAATTTGCATAAATTATAATGAATTTATAAATGAAGACTCAATGCTGTATCTGAGTCAGAACTGAATTAAGAAATGCTGCTAACATCCAGAGAAAACAAGGACAAGAAATCATTATATAAACAATAAATATACATGCACTTATAAGGTACAGTAAGTATTACATCCAAAAAATATTGAAGAGGTATCAATAGGAATCAGAAGTTAAGATGAAGTAAAAAGGAAAGCTACTCACTACTACTTAGTTATTGATGGTAATTCAATAACTAAAAATGATGAAGAATGATAATATAGAATCCAGATAAAAAGAGATAAAATGAATTATATATAAGGGGTTTTACCTACATTTGACATGTAGTTTAATTCTTCTAAGATTTTTATGAAATGATTATTAATATTGTCTCCATTTTTCAAATAATATGATATGGATGGAGTTATATAATGAAGTTGTATAAGGTATGATGAAGTTATATAATGTTCATTGCAACAACTACCACAATAATAAAGAAAACAAGAAGAAATAAAAACAGTTAACAATATATGTACACATTAATCCTCATGCTTGTGTAAACTAATTATAAGGGGGTGTTTTTTACTATAAAAATCATGAATTCAATTCTTAAAGTATTATGTATTCAATAAAGCTTTACTGAAACAAATGACTATTGTGAGTTCTTCATTAAAACATGTGACAGATTAAAACAAATTAAAAATTCATGTCATAACAGTGCTATTTACCATATCACTTTACAATGTTATATATTGAATAACTACAAAACAGACTAATTTGTGAACATGCTAACTCCCAGCTTTATGAATTCAAGACACACAAAGATTACAGAACAAAAAAGACTCAGTAATACCAGCTTAGCTCTTTGTCATTCTTTGCATTCCAACTCCTCTTCCCACCTACTCACCCTTAATCCATATTATGTTTTATCACATTGTCTGTGATAATATTTTGGAGTACAGCACATTTCTGCTGAATAAATCAGCAGACTTCAACTTTTGCACATGCTGAATCCTATCTTTATGAATTGAATACACACAAACATTTGAGAACAAAAAGACTTACTGATACTTGCCTAGTTCTTCCTCATCTTCTGCATTCCAACTTCTCTGCCCACCTATTTACTCTTTACCCAAATTATATTCTATCAAATTGTCTTTGATAATATTTTGGAGTACACCACATTTCTGAGAGCTTCTTTCACATCCTTGTTCCTCAGGCTGTAGATCAGGGGGTTCAGCATGGGGATCACCACAGTGTAGAACACCGTGGCCACTTTGTCAATATCCAGACTAGCCCCAGAACTGGGCTGGCAATAAATGAACAGGATTGTTCCATGGAAGACAACAATGGCTGTGAGGTGGGAGGCACAGGTGGAAAAAGCTTTGCGCCTCCCCTCTGCAGAGCGCATCTTCAGGATGGTGATGAGAATGAACACATAGGAGGTGAGGATGATCACAATGGTCATAGATTCATTGAAAGTAGCCACAATGAACAGCAGAACCTTGTTCACAGTGACATCAGAGCAAGAAAGATTTAGGAGTGGAGGTAGGCCACAGAAGAAGTGATTGATTATGTTTGACCTATACAATGGGATCTTAAGGGCCAAGCACAAGTGAATCAGAGCACACACTGATGCTAACAAGTAACAGCCTGAAACCAGCTCTGCACAGAGCTTCTGAGACATGATGACCATGTATAGCAGAGGGTCGCAGATGGCCACAAAGCGATCATAGGCCATCACAGCCAGCAGGATGATCTCTGTGATCACACAAGTGCAAAACAAATAGAACTGTACCATGCACGCGGGGAAGGAGATGGCTTTATCCTCGGTTAAGATGTTGGCCAGCATTTTCGGCACAATGACTGAGGAGTAGCTGAAGTCCACAAGGGACAAGTGACTGAGAAAAAAGTACATGGGAGTGTGCAGTTGAGAGCTGAGCTGGATCAGTGCCACCATGCCCAGGTTGGCCAAAACTGTGACTCCATAGATGAGAAGGAACACCAGGAAGAGAAGGACTCTCAGCTTGGGGACATCTGACAATCCCAACAGAATGAACTCTGTCACAGTGGTGCAGTTTTCTTCAGCCATGGCCAACAGATGTCAGGTTAACTTATATAGTATATCTATTGGTTTACTTCTGGGAAGATATGAAAGAGGAAATGGTAGGTGGACATTAAATTCTGTATCAAATAACATTAATATGAAACACATATGCATGAATTGTAAGAGAAACATAACTACCAAATTGATATAATGTTCCATAATTATAATATTCTAACCTATGTTTCTCAGTAGAGTTTA